GGTGAAGTTGGCAAATAGATGCAGAACTGGATACATTAAAAGGTCAGCAGAGAGCTGACCCACCCACACACTCCCTCTTTAGGCAAAGAACGTAGTTGTAAACACAGCAAGACCCCACTACTTTTCTGCAGCATCTACGCAATCATGAGAGACCTTCAATGAGGGCTTTAGATTTAGCCACTTACTGAATGCAGATATTATTCCATTTTATATGAAAGTTACAGTGAGGCAAAACCAGCACGTCCTAATCACACCTGTATTTTCTTTCCTGTTCATACATGTGAAACAGAAGCCTCTTGGACCCCCTTTCTGGTTTCACTGATAACAAAACTCTTATCAGTCCTGGCAGTATAAAGTTTCACATGTGAAGCCATGTTTAAATGAATCACATTTAAGATTTGTTAATAAATAGCAGAATTCAGCAGAAGAAAGAATAGTCATTATTTATCTAAATTCCCTGAAATATCTAAATTTCCTGAAGCAAACCTCAATGAATCACCCAGGAAATCACACCACTCTAATTTTGAAATGAAGTCACAAATGTTCCATCTGAGTTTTGCATGGGATCACTTGTGTCAGAAGCAAAATATGGTGAAAACAATACACCCCCTACCATACACTATACATAACCTCCTAAGCCATTAATTAGATGGGTGCTATTTATACACTTACTATGCTGGATTACAAAAGCTCTTCTTTACACGTACTCTCAATGCCTAAGCGTTAGGTCCCTCAGACCTTTAGAATTAATAATCTTACAGTATTCTGTAGAAATGAAAACAATGCAACCAAAATGAAAAAAAAACCAGTTTCATGAGTCAAACCCTCCTCTGAAAAAATTAAGGAATCTAATGAAATAGTACAGTAGCCTTGAGTCGCATCTGATTAAATAACTCTTGAAAAATATTTGTTAAAATTTTTCTAGCTACAGGCTTCAGCAAGGGAAGTTTTGGGTGCAAGCTATTGCTCTATTCACACTCCAAAAGCAGAAACAAACAGCTAGCTGTGTGTGTCAGCAGCACATTTTGTGATATGAACTGCAGGCAAAAGCAAATGAATTTATGTCAGTTTGCTGCAACTACCTTAAAGAAGGCTGTGATGAGGTGGGTATCAGACTCTTCTCCCAGGTAACAAGTGACAGGATGAGAGGAAATAGCCTCAAGTTTTGCCAGGGGAAGTTTAGATTACATATTTGGAATTTATTTTTCACAGAAAGAGTTGCAAAACACTGGAACTGACTGTCTGAGGAAGTTGGAGAGTCACCATTGCTGAAGGTTTCAAAAAATGTGTGGGTATGGCTCTGGAGGGCATGCTTTAATGGTGAACATGGTGATGCTAGGTTGACGGCTGGACTTGATGAACTTACAGGTGTTTTCCAACCTTAACAATTCTGTGATCACTGGCTTGGGCAGCACCTCTAGAATCAGCAGTGGCACCAGCAGCTTTTGATTTTCTAGGAGGGTGTGTGAGGGGTGGTATTCCAGAAGAGACTGTATGCTACTACTCAGTGATATGTGAACAACAGTCAATATTCACATCACAGTTTAGAAACTTCTGTCTTAAAAGGCTACTAATCTGAGTTCCCTGGATAGCTGTGCCAGCACAAGACAATCATGGTAATCCAGGAGCAGCCAGGGGCTGTAACAACTCCCTGGTGGGAATGGTGCTGTTAATCAAGGGTGGTAGAACACTGGCTCATGAGCACACCCTACACAACCAATGTGTGTGCTGGCTGCTACTGCTACATGAAACTCTACATTATGTCATCCCATGAAGTTTGAAGTTGTTTCAATGTCTACTGCGAAACAGGCCAATAGAGAAAACATATATTTAATACCTAAATGTATAGACACACGATATACAGATTCTTCTGCATATGAGGAAAATAATAAATTTTGCTAGTATAATCTGCATGTACAAGGATGCTCCTTCCCTCATCCACGAGTGCCGATTTCTACCTGAAAATACATTACCAAAACTCTAATGCACAGCCAGCCTCACCCAGAATGGAGAGCAGAGAAACCCTGATCCACTGTGCTTCAGAGAAAGCTTCAGGATATCATCTGGAGCAAAGAATCTACTAGGGTTAATGGCTTGAACACTGTTCACTTTAACAGGTATTTCACCTGAAGTATGAAAGAAATCCTCAATAAAATTGGGCCAATTAGGCATTCAAGTAATTATAAAAATTTAAGTCATTTGCTGAATGAAGTAAGCATTTTAAGCAGATTAAGTGCCTAAACTCACTTAATAGATTATTTGACTAATGGTTAAAGTAAAGATAGATTTTTAAGAAATTTACTGAGTAATGACTTTAATTTGGTAAAAAGTTAAGAACAGTGATTAACATTTCCCAATTTTAGTTAAAATTATTATGACTCAAATAAAACTTCTAAATGTCCTTCCTTCTTTGAAGACATAACTAGATTATTTTTGATCTTTCTTGTTGGTGAAAGAAAACTCCAGCTTCTAAAAACTAGTGCTATCAAACGAATAATTTACTAAGTTTAATAAGCTGTTTGTTCAAGTGTCAAATGAAGGAATAAAAAAAAAAAAAGTTCACAAGTCTCTGTGTTAACACCCTTTCTGGTCTAGTAACATTAATGCAAGGATGTCTTCCTACAGTGCAGGAAAAATCTAATAAGATGGTGTTGTTTATAAACATGTGAAGCATTTAAATTCTGTCTTAAACCTGGAAGCCTGTGCAAATTGCCTTAACTTAACAGCAGCCTCCATGCAGCAGTAACAGTGAGTTCCCCACTACTGTAAGACAGAAGTGGCACAAATGTGTGTCACTGATTAACAGTAAGTGCACAATGCTGTTAGGTATTGCTCTTCAAGTATGTGCTCCCACTGGCAGTGCAGAAGACCGGACTTAAAGCTGGTTTAAAAGTACAGTATTCAGATTATTTGAGGTCATACTATAAATCTGTGAGTATATTAACTGACTGCTGAAATTACTACAGCAAATGACTTCAAGATTTATATCTGGAATTAGGGAAAAACATAGAGGATTAATTTTTTTACATTTCTAGGTGGTTAAAAAAAATCTCAACCTTATTTGAACTTTGACAAGACCTACACACAAATCCTATATACTCCCATATATTAAAAAAAAAAATTTTTTTTCAGTATTCTCACTAGACAAAAGAAGGCCTTATAGTGTAAAAGTGTAAAATTTTTGTTCTTTCTTTAAAATCATGAGGTTAAGTCTGAACAAGAGACTTTGCATGGCATACAACCAGGACATGGAATAGTGTACTATTAACACTTTTCTGTGTTAATGTTTCAGATACAGCTCTTTTGAGAAACCATAAATATGATGTGTTCTCCCCCCTTCATGAACTGCAAGCAACCCAGTGGCAGTTCTGCCAAGTTTGCTCAGGCACACAGATTTCCAGCTCAGCTCAGTGCATTAGTCTCTCTGCCTGTGCTAATCCTTGTTATCTGTAAGGATCCTTCCTGTGTGCCTGAGAACCCCCACACTGGACTGTTCAATCACACATTTCTGCCTCCATTGTAAACTCCTATGCAGACAAGCAATGGATTCCAAATTTAACAGACACACAGTAATTCTTCCCTACTTTTGAACTTTGTTAAACCGAAGTCATTCAAGCAAAGCTTGCTGCAACCTGAATGAAATTTAGATACTGTATCTTATTTATTCCCTTTTTATGGTCAACAGACAATCGGCAAGCTTTCTAATTGTCTATAAAAGTATTATGACAAACTTAAGAATAGTCAGAAAAAGGATGTATTTGTCTTAGAACTGCCTTCACACTACATAAGAGAGCATAAAAATTGGGTGCACAAAATACTAGTTTTTGCTGTGAATTTCATATTCCCATATAGTATTAGAATTTATTTTCAAACTATACTTTGATATCAGACATCCTCTGAAGTGGCATCTGTCACTGTCTCCAAAGATTGGAACTGACACTGAGTTGCAACACAACAGCCTAACGTTATCTCAAAAGGCTCTGATTTCATGCAGTGATGCAAGATCTTGACATTACAGTGCAGCACTGAATAATTCCTACCATTGTTTTACATTATGCATGTAATCCAGTTTTTATCTAAAAATATTTAAGGTATTTTCCAAGAGCCAGAGTTGGCTCACTCAAGCATTTTTGCATGTTTGTGCCTTTTTTTATCATGGATGACAAGGGCCCCTAGGATTATTCATAGGAACAGAGCACCAGGGCAGCCCACGGATGGTTAAATGCGGGTAAGGAATTACTTTATAAAACCTTTAAGACTTTTGAGTCTTTTATTTTTCAACTACACTTGCATCATTATCCCGCCAAACCAAAACACTTGGATCTACAGCCAAACACCGTGGGACGTTATACACACAGGGCACAATATAACAAGCCATAAATAACAACTCTGGAGAAGACGAAAGTTGACTAAGAAAAGAAGTGGGCACAGAAATCGGCCTCGCAAACGCGGCCGATGCCGGCAGCCTGAAGCGCAGCCCACAGCAGCACTCGATGCCGGTACTAAGGAGGCGCCGTGCCATGACGGCTGTAGGGCGCACAATTCCAGGCCCCGACTCTCGGAGGATTACAGCCCGTCACGGGCTGTACGTGTCTCCCCTTCCAGAGCCGCGGCATTCGGCTTTTTCCCCCGCCGTGCTACCGCCCCACCCGCTCCTCACGCGGGACGGACGGGCCGGCCCAGCTCGGGACGGCCTCGTGGACAGGAGCGAGGCGCGACCCCGAGCCCCGCTGTAGGAGCCACGGCGACTCGGGCGGCCCCCCTCCCCGCGGGCTCCGTGCGGGCTCCGTGCGGGCTCCGTGCCCGCCCGCACACGCCAGCGGGGAAGGCGGAGGCGCCGCCTGCCCCCAGCCCCAGGCGAGACGGGCCGCGCCCCGCACCCCCACGGCGTGCAGGGACGGGGGAGGCCGGAAGGCAACGCGTCCTCCGGGCTGCAGCCCCCGCCCTGCCGCGGCCCGCGCTCCCCGCTCCTCCCGCAGCCGCCACCGAGCCCCCCGCACCTTGGCACCGCCTGCAGCCGCCCTCCTTCCTCAATCCCATGCTCCCGGCGGGGCGCGAAGGGGCGGCGCCGGCCGGGGCTGGGCTCGGCGGCTGCGGCGGTTCGTCCCGCGCCCGCCGGGCCCCGCCTCGGCGTTGCCATGGCGGTGAGAGCGCGACGGGAGCGCGGGGCCCTCACCGCCCCTGCCTCGCCCGGCGGAGGGGAGGGGCCGCGGGGCCTCGGGCCCGAAACCCCCTGCAGCGGGGCGGTGCAGCCCAGGGAAGGTTTTGTCGCCGTCGGTGAACGGGCCCTCATTACCTAGGCCTTTTTCTTGTGACTTGACGGGAAGTTGAAGAATAATGAATGGCCGGGAGAAATTTTGCGGCAAATTGCTGATATTTCAGGGAACGAGTGACAAAACGAGAGCCTAGAGCGTTCACATTACGCTGAATAAATTAATCTCAATGACTTTGTAAACGAACAGCACCTTAAAAATGAACCACAAAATAACCTTTGGGAAAGGAGCCTTTAATCCCATCACTGATTAATGGGTGCATGCCGATGTGCTGGATTTGAACTTTCTGAAGAAGCAACAGGGTGGTATTTACAGTTTGTTTGACAGGTTGCTGTTTTACCTTATGTGAAGTCTCTGCGGGCTTTTGTACTTGTGTACAGATTTTTCACTCTGACCGGCCGGGGGTACTGCAGTCCCCTCCACAGCCTGACACGTCAAAAAAAGGCACATGTCCCAGATGGAGGGACATTCCCCTTCACTATCTAGAAATGAGTATTAATTACAGGCTAAATACAGTGTTTTGTGTGATTTGCTACCCTTCCTTACATACTAGAAAAATGAATTTGAATGTAGTTCAAAATCAAACCAAAATCAAGGTGAAGTTGTTTGAAAACAACTTTTCTTCCTTATTTCTGCCTCAATCAATGCTCCCACTTGGTTACACAAATATACATGTTGGATGAAACCAGTAGTTTATCTACCCCAGTACTTTGTGTAGACTCTACCAAATACTTCAAATGCTTTTCAGTCGTAATCTGAATGTAATGTGTGATGTCCCTTTTAATTTTAGACATACCAATTAACTATATGAAGTACTCCTTCCATGTGGCCTCAATTTCTGTGCTTCATGTTGTAGTGATCATTTTAGCAGTCTGTTTTCTGTAAAATCATCCTTAAATGTAGTTGGTGTCAAATTTGTCTGGGAGAGGTCACGGGAGGGAATATATGCCTTGGAAACTCATCAGTCCTCCATCTTCTGGTGGTCCTCTGTCATTCTGACTGCTTTTTATATAAAACCATCAGTTGTCGTGGCATTTCAGCTTCTGTCAACCATAAGGTCACAAACACCTTACCGTCTTGTCAAATCAAAATAATTTGATAGCATTCTGTCATTTTCCTTTATATCTCTTGGATTTGAGGTCAATGAATGTCTTAGAAAATATCTGCCAGGAAAAATCTACAAAACTGAAAAAACACAATCCACGAGTTGGTGTGTGGGTTTTGTTTGTTTGTTTTTGTTCTTTTTTTATTTTAATGTTTTTGTTTTATTTTATTTGTTTTTGTTGTATTTTTCTTTGAAGCAGATTGTGGGTGAAATTAGAGATTAGTGGGAAGGGCTTCAGGAAATTAGTTATCATTGTTCTTGTGTTTCAGGGTCTCTGGGTTATGCTTTGATACAATTCAGATCATTAAATCTGTGGATTTTAAAGGTAGAGATAGTTTTTAAACAGTTTTCATTTCAGATACCTGAAGACACTGGAGAGAATGAAAATAAGTATACAGGATTCTATACGGTTGGCTATAATACTCTCTATGACAGAGATCATGTCACAGAAAACACTTGTCTCTGTTTGCTTTCTTTTTAAAAAAAATGCTGCTCATAGTTACTTTTCTTTATTTTTAAAATACTTTTTTCTATTTGTCTCTTTTTCTGAATTCTGAATATCAGGTTCCCAAAAACTCAGTTTGTAGTACTCAACATATGGTGTTAGGCTGTTCTGTTCAAACCCATATGACGGATTTCTCTTCCTTATTGTCCCTATGTTTTTTTCCACCATGTTGATAATTAAAACCACATAAATGTAAGTAAGCATTTTTAGAAATATTCTCCTAGTTTCTAGGCAACGCTGAGGGAATGTAGTGATTTCCATTTGTTCCCTCTCAGTCAGCAGTCACAGCATCATAGAGATGTCCTGTGTCTGAAATTTTGGCAACACATACCAAAGCTTTATATATTTCTAATTCTATTTCATTAATGGGCCTTAGGTCTTTGGTGGCTTTTGGCCCCCTTTGTTCTATGACAATATATATATTTTTAGTGTAATCAAGAAGTAATGCAGTTTCATAATGGTGTGCACATTAAGTCCTATAACATGCATAAAAAAAAAAAAAAAGAAAAAAAAAAGCCTTAACAAAAATTGAATCAGTTCTGGATTTTGATCCACTCAAAGAAGTACAGAAATAAGTTCCACAGATCACTGCAGGGATCTTACTGTTGCAGAAGAAGCAAAAACATGTCAAAACCTGTAAGATACGTCCTTTCCCAATCTGAAAAGAAGAAACTGTTGCTGTCTGTCCATTTCAGCAGGCATTTTCCCCTTAGAATGCATTACAATAGAACATGGTTTTAAAATGTGCTTTCACTGGGAGGGAAGGAAAGCAGCAGGAATATGAGAGTCACATTTGCAAGTGTAGGTGGGCATCTGTCCCCACCCTGGCATGGACTTAGGGAACAATTGCCTTCTTGTCTATTACCTCTGCCCTCTGTATCATCCAATGTAGACACCTAACTGTTGTGAAAATACACAGTTCATAGTATTCAGCAACAAACCAACACAGAGAGAAATATGCCCAAAAACCCCAAAATATCCCATCAGATGTCCGCTTGCTTTTGCGTGCTTAGCCCAGACAAGTTTCAAATCCTCTGAAAAAGATAGTATGTCTGGCAGGACCTCAGTTACCTGCTCACTTGGGACAGAGATCTGTCCATAACGTCAGAAATTTGTTTTCTTAGATTTGGCTTTCTTGGAGAAATAGTTTGTGTGTACCCTGGAAAATTAAAATCTGCAGTTCTTTGGAGAGTCTTTTCTTTTAAGCCACTGATTTTCATTCATGCTTGCTTTTCCTTACAGCAGTCAAGTGAGTATACAGATGCAGGCAGGAGATAGACCAACAACCAGATCTGCACACTCTATTCACAGAGTATTCTAGAAAGGTCTTAAATTCATCACAATAGGTACTTGATCATGGAAATAAATCACATGGGTTTTCTTGAATATTTATTTGGCATAAGTGCCCTATCTCAGTGCAGATTGTCACCTGCCTGTGGTCTGTGTGTCAGTGTTCCAAATCCCTCGTTGCAGCTCTCAGAGGGCTTTCATTGAGTTGCAGCAATTCCCACCTGGCACGTTCAGACCATCCACCTTGCAGTCTGTTCCCCTACAACTATGTGGAACTAAAAACATTTACCTGAAAGGTTTGAGGACATGGTACCTTCTAAATTCATTTAAAGACTGGCCAAGCAGTTTTCTTTTGCTACCTAATTAGGAAATTCTTATGTTGAAACAACTGAAGTAGGTTTCAGATAGTGGGTGTGAGGGGAAAAAAAAGCTTTAATAGCTACTGAAATACAGTGTTTGCTTGTTTTGGTTAATTTTGGATTTTTTTAAAGGATTACTTTTCCAGGAGGGATGGTAGGTTTTTTTTCTGCCTTGTGTTTGCTGCATGTTCTTTGGTCATATGGTTCTTCAAGTTATTTAAAATCATGTTCAGTCTTCAAATATCATTGCAGCTTTCTAAATGATTGAGAGTAATGTGTTTTGGCAGGGCTGCAGACTCCTTCACTTTCTTTGTGGCAATGCATTTAGTCGTTCTGTTATTGTCTGTATGGCAGCAGTAGTCACAGATCGTTGTAAAGCTAGTGCTCCAGTAGGAAAGATGATACAAAAAAACTCCAGAGGAGGTGATTAATATCTTAAAAACTGTGGTTTTTAATACCGTGTAATTTAGAATGCAATAAGGGAGCTAACCTAAAGGAGGGAATACGATAAGGAAGATGAGGGCAACGACAGGAATATATAATGACATAAAGTTTCTATATACTTAGTATTAAAATTCCATAAAATTTATCAGCTTAGAATAAAAAGTCTCCCCTGCAGCATATATAGAATAACTGCTACAAAAACCCCTTTAGGAAGCTGCTGTGCAGATGTACACTGTTGTGGCTTACTCTATACAACTATTTTTTCTCTTTAGATCTATACAGAGTTTTATAATGCATCTATACTGTGATAAAAGACTATTTTTTTATGTGTCAAGGAAGAAAGCTGTATAAATTGTATGAGATGTTATTCTCAGACTTAATGTAATATTTCGTAGCTGGAGTGACTCAAGATCTGCTTATATTTCTCCTTATATCATGTCATTTTCTGTTAATCTACTGTTCCCATGCAAGTTTGCCGACAGAAGGCTTGTAGGTGAAAAGCTCTCCTTTAGTAGTGCTGACTGCTGAGGGCTGTTCTTTTCTCATTACTTTAATTGAGCTATTAGGTATTAAAGAATGTAGACTGGAATAACTAATGAAATATATTGGAATTTTAAAGGGAAAAAAGCCCATGTAAATGTCATAACTTAGTTGTCTAGACCATAAGAAATTCTTCATTTTCTAACTGATTTACCTACTGTGAAACATAGAAATGCTTACTCATACTAATTAATGAGAAACAGATGAAAATCAAAAGGATGATTTTTTTTTTTAATATTTCAATGAAGATCAGAAACTTATGACACAGATGAGACATATATAAATGATACAACTCCAGTAAATTCAGTGAAGCTATTCCTGCTTAGGCTGGATGGATCATCTATGCCTACCTAGCCCATGTCAGGCAGACAGAAGAATGTCATTGAGGCATTTTGTGTGGCCCATCCACTTCCTATGCAGCTACTCATGCTTAGCTACTAAAGCACGCTCAGCCTTACCTGGCAATGAATTAATCCATACACATACTTGAATAAATGCTAAAGAGAGTTCTTCCAGCTCTGTCAAGGTCAAAAAGAGAAATTCTCAAGGGTGTCT